ATAACCGAAAGTCCTAGGATGATGATATTTGGCCAGTAGCATGCTGGGATAAAGGGCAACCAAGTTTATTCAAATGAATGATCTTAAATTATATTCAAGGTCACTGGGGTCAAATATGTTTAAAACTTTTATACAACTTCTTCTGAATAACCAAGAGGCCTAGGATAATGATATTTGGCCAATAGCATGCTGGGATAAAGGGCTATCAAGTTTGTTCAAATGAATGACCTTTACATATATTCAAGGTCACAGGGGTCAAATATGTTTAAAACCTTTAAACGACTTCTTCTAAATTAACCAAAGGCCAAGGGTGATGATATTTGGTCATTAACAGGCTGGGATAAAGGGCTACCAATTTTGTCAAAATGAATGACCTTCGCCCATATTTAAGGTCACAGTGGTCAATATATGTTTAAATCTTTAAATGACTTGTTCTGTATAACCAATAGGTCCAGGGTTATGATATTTTGCCAAAAGCATGCTAGGTTGGAAGACTTTAAACTCTGTTCAACCTAATGTCCTTGTTCGACATTCAAGGTCACAGGCGTCATATGTTTAAATCTTTTAATAGGTTCTTATGTTTAAATCTTTTAATAGGTTCTTATGAATCAAACACTGATATTCTGCCTGTAGCTGTATTTTAGTCCACTTTTAAGATTACAAGTGTGAGATTAATACCAGGTGAGCGATTCAGGCCCATTGGGCCTCTTGTTTTAAAATATAATCATTTGTAACTGGACAAGGCTCGACTATGTATGTATATTTCAAGTAAGCATCTAATATGGTGTAAAATATGTATTAAAAAGAGTCCTATATTACACATTTATAACACAAAAAGTATTCTAATGGTACCCCTCTTTTGCTTAAGAATTGTGGTAATCTATGCTGATAACGATCTCATCAAATACAGAAATATCGATTAATTTAACCAAATATGGTAAAATAACATGATATCTTTAACTGTGCTCAAGATTTTTGTTCTGATATTATTATAAAGGTGTTAATGTAGTGAATTAAAAACTCCTAAATGTATACGTTATTTTTATACAATACATCCTGTCCATTATGAGTTTGTTGATATTATAAGAATCTTGCAGAATGTTTTAAAGTTGATATGAAAGTAATATAAAAAGGCAATATGCGAAAATAATATAAAAAATAGCATAGATATTGATAATTTAAGAACTTAAATGATAAATATCTGTTATTACATTTTGCTTTGTAGAATAAGGATTTTTGAAAAGGTTCAAGTAGTCACTGTCCGATAATATAGTAAATGTAAGATAATATAAGAAACATAAAAACAAAATGATTATCATGGTAAAGATAGAAGTTTCAGTCTTTTGGAGTTGATCTTAAAAGGCAAAAGTTAAGAATATGTAAAGAATGACTTTATACAGACACAAGATTGAACATGAAAGGGTTACCTAAGTTTGAGTACAAAGAATGTGACCTTGTAAAGACAGAAGTTTGATTAAGTAAGGTGACCTTGTAAAGACAGAAGTTTGATTAAGTAAGGTGACCTTGTTAAGACAGAAGTTTGATTAAGTAAGGTGACCTTGTAAAGACAGAAGTTTGATTAAGCAGGTGACCTTGTTAAGACAGAAGTTTGATTAAGTACAGTGACCTTGTAAAGACAGAATTTTGTTTGGTTAAAAGGTGACCCTGTTAAAACAGAAGTTTGATTTAGGTAAAAGGAGACCCTGTTAAAACAGAAGTTTGATTTAGGTAAAAGGTGACCCTGTTAAAACAGAAGTTTGATTTAGTAAGGTGAACTTAATGTTAAGACAGAAGTTTGATTAAGTACGGCGACCTTGTTAAGACAGAAGTTTGATTAAGTACGGTGACCTTGCATTGTTAAGACAGAAGTTTGATTAAGTAAGGTGACCTTGTAAAGACAGAAGTTTGATTAAGTACGGTGACCTTGTCAAGACAGAAGTTTGATTAAGTACGGTGACCTTGTAAAGACAGAAGTTTGATTAGGTAAAAGGTGACCTTGTTAAGACAGAAGTTTGATTTAGTAAAAGGTGACCTCGTTAAAACAGAAATTGTTATATCTAGATAGTTACAAAGTAAAACAGTAGTTTGACATTATTTTGGTTTTATGTTACAGAGGACAACAGTCTGCTGATAGGAATGCTGGTGTTCTTTGCCCTCTTTGTCGTCCACTGTCTCCTCTGCCTTTTTGCCTACTATCACAGAGAGAAGCTGACCAAGTGGTGGAATCAACGTGCCTCTGCTCTTAAGTACAGGTCAGTGTACATGTATGATTTGTTATGTTAGATGCAAACTATAATCGGTGGTTTATGTAATCAAAATTTGGAAACTACAAGCATTGAAATTAAATATTTCAGAACTGCAACTTCCTTGGAAAAAAATCTAATATATGTAACTTGAATATCATATTTCAAAATCCTCTTTGAAAATAAAATGTTGCTTGTGTAATTACAGTGTACCATCATTGCCCAGCATCAAACTAGCATCTAGGAACAAAAGGCAACCACCCCCTCCACCACGTCCAGGGGCAGGAGGAGGGGGCGGGGCACAGGAGCCAAAACAGACAAGTGCCATGATAAGAAATGGGAATGTGTCAGTGGAAATTTCATCACCAGTCCTACAGGATAGTACCCCAAACCAATCACAGTCCTCCTCTCATACTCTGAAGATTGGCCAAAAGCCCAAACCCCTTCCAACCAGACAAGTCCCTGCTCCTAATGCAGAGATGCCGACAGAGGCAGAAAAACCAAAGTCAGCATTCTCTAAGATGATCAACCGATCAGGAGATTCTTCATTCCAGTCATTTTCAAAGTTATTGAACTTATCAAAAGACAAGGCATCACCCAATTCATCACCAAAACCGCCAGTCAAACAAATAACATCCAATCCCATGTTCCAGCCTACAGATCCCATAGTAAAGAAGGATTCTTTTAATCGGGATCGTGAAATATCAAAACCTGTTTTGATCAGCACAACAGATCGAAGGTCTAAAGCCTTTGTGAAGGACAAAAGTTCAGACAATTTGGAAGAAGATCATGGATTTTCATTTGCAGATTCTTTAATTTCACCTCCACCGCCCCCAGCTCCTCGTCAAGCTCCTGCACGCAGGAATAGGGCAGCAAGGGCCCCTCCTCGACCCACGTCACTTCCACCTCAGCCAATCAAGGAGAAACTTCGCAAAGAGGAAGAGAAACAACTTGCTAGAAAATCTGTGATTGACCCTGGAGCAAGGTCACCTCCTCGACCCCCACCCCCTAATGTGAACAACCAGTCACAGCCCTTTTCACAACAGCAGGAAATGCAAATACCACCTGTAAGTTATAATAACCAGAGTCGCAGATTGATTTTAAATCCAAACTTGCATACCAGCAGAAATGTCAGCAGTTTTGATGAGCCCAACCCATCTCCAACTCCACGAGTTTTTACAGACAAAAGTCGAAATAAGATTGACTCCAGGCCAAATGGACATTCATCTTCCAGTAAGGCAAATTCTGTGTCAATTAAAAACCCAGAAAAACATATATCTGGGGAATCTAAAGCCAATGGTAGAGTTCCTTTATCTACAAATGCTACAAAGACATCTTTTGACCTGAAAGGCAAAAATGTGTTGTCAAGTAACAACAATAACAATAAGTTGTCATCTGACACAAGGTCAAACTTAAGATCAGATACAACATCACACAAAAACAATATACCCGAGCCTTCAACAAGAGGCTTTCATCATATACCAGATAATAGATCGGGTAAGATGTCACATGACATCAAACCTAGGCAAACAGGGGATGTGTCCAAACTTAGACAAACAGGGGATGTGTCCAAACTTAGACAAACAGGGGATGTGTCTAAAGCGAGGAAGCCATTGCCCAAACCATCTACACAGTCACAAAGCCGTATACGAGAGACTGATATAATCGACGACAATGTCAATCCAGATGAGGGATCTGGATGTGTGGCTGAAATCAAGGCTATGTTTGATGAGATGGACATTGGGCGAGGTCTATCTGACAGCCCAGAAAAAGAGTCAACTCCTCCTCCTGTGTTATCTAAGGTAACCAGAAACAATTCTGGACCAGTAGACCGACCCAAGCCACCACCCAAACCGGGTCAAGGTTCAGCCAAGGTCAAACCAAGTCAAGGTTCTGCCAAGGTAAAACCAGGTTCAAAGGTCAGAAGTGTAAATGTTTAATATTTTGTGACAACTTGATTGAAGGAAAACTGCTATGAATGATGGAAGATATTTCTTCAATGTAATGTTTAAAAAGTCATTAACTTTTTGTGCATTTGTTGCTTCTTTTTTTGAGTCACTGTAAAAAGACAACCACTAACTATTACAGAGTGAATAAGCTGTCTTGATTTGATTTGCTCTGTCATATTAATATAAGGTGTATCTGTAAGACGTACTGAAGGAACCATCTCTCATGTTGTGTGGATGATATCATTGCACGGTGACATCTAGGTATCTTTCGAGAATCTTCACATAGAAATATAAGCTAATGTTATTATTTCCTAAAATGTATATTTGTAATGATATGTGGTAATTTGTCCAATATACAATCATTTATAAGAATTAACAATTACACTGAAAATAATGCCCAAAGAACAAAACAATTGAGAGGGGAGTGACCTTGATATTTAAATTTTAGATAAATATAGAACTTTGACAAAATTTTAAGAGGGATTTTTTTATTACCAACATATATCTGCATATTGTCATTTGATCGAGGTCACATAGAATTATACAAAGTCCAGTGTAAGTCAAACATATCTTTTATACAAAAATATCCAAGTTTTGGACAAAATGTAATGGAACTGGACTGGGTCTATAGTAAGCGACCAGGTAGCTCAATTGGTTCTTTTGAATGACTTAGAGTTATATATACTGATATTTTGCCTGTAGCTTATTTAATCCACATTCAAGGTTATAAGTGTGAGATTAATACCAAGCCAGAGATGCAGGCCCATTGGGCCTCTTGTTTGTAATCCTGCTGATGCAAACAAGTTGTCTGAAATATTCATGTTTTACTTAAAACCATTAAATAGTTATCACATACCAAATGTTCTGCTAACTTGTACCAATCAGGTGTTCAGTGCATGTTTACATAACATTGCACATTTTAATTATGTGAATCATGTGTTCTAGTAGAGACTTAAATTATGAACCTCCAGAGACGGTAAATGACCGCAGTGGTATTTCTATTATTGATTTACCCAAGGGCTGATCTTCTAGTCAAGTTTAAGAAACTATCAACTTTATTTTATTAAAGTTTAAATCCCCTTCCTTCAGCAGTTTGTGTTTCCAATTACATTTCATACTGCCTGTCTTACTTCTGTGCGAGATTTAATACAATAGTGATCCCCAACAAAGCATTGTTCTGTTTTTCCTTTAACCTGTAAGGCCATGTGTCGTTGATAGAACATGTTTAGTGTTGTAAATATGCTTTCTTCCAGAACACATTATGAGTGGTATATATATCTATGGACATTTACCTCATTTATTCGTTTTTTTCTACTTTAGGATATCTTACACCTTTCGTATTGAACTGTGATTATTAGAGATTTAAAAATCTCATTTTACTGAATTTTAGTTGTTGGTGTTTTTTTCAAACCAGATGGATTTGTGATTAAAGAGCTGTCTTTTTAAACTGTTTTTAACAAAAAATACAAGGATCGTTAGTGGTGCTTATGCAGATGAATTACTGGTATATTTGTTATTATCCCCCGCTTTCACCGGGTCACAGGGTTTAATGCCTGAAGGACTCTATTTTGCAGAGTTATGGCCCCTTGATTAACGAAAAACATCATTAGCTATAGTTTACGCTGAATAACTCTAGCAAATATTAGCCAAATTCCTTCAAACTTGATAACAATGTTTGTGTTCCTCTGTCTTTCCACCCATCTTGGGTGATAATTGCTGTAGATATTGTTCAGATGTTCCAACCAAATTCCGTATGCACATCCGACTCATGCCAAGTTTGCCAACAGATGTGATTTATGCATATTTATGGATAATCAATGAGGTGTAGGTTGGATTTTTTCAAGTTTCAAGCTATACATTATGTCTCAACAGCACGATGCTCGCATGTTCAAACCTAACTTCAATAATGTTAACCTACAATATGTCCTGCAAGCAGGGGATGTAATTTTCACGAATTTGCTTGTTTTTAGCTTTATTTGGGGGCATTTGAGACAAACCTTGGGAAAACCTCAAATAAAAAGTCATCTGTGATTTTGCATTCAACATTCTTCCAGCTTCTCTTTCCAGAATAATTGTCAGTATTATTTTATCACTGTATTTAATTTTAATTTTGAATTTGTGATTTACTGAAGATTCAAGAATCAGGACACAATGCTTTTTCTGAATGTAATTACTTACTGTATTTTGTTAGGTTTTGTTACAATTTTTAATTGTTTTTACATGTATATTGTATATCCTTTTGTACTTCATGTATTTATTCTTTTGTTTATACATATAGATTCTCTAAGTTTCAGTTATCAATCAGTTTAAAGAGCACTCGATATTTGAGTTTTAGTTGGGTTTTTTGGGGGGGGGGGGGGGAGAGAGAGAGTTCTATGCTCATATTGTGCAGGTAGAACTTTTTTCAACATATTAATCTCCAAAATATGAACAGGGTGCAAATTGCCTAATTGCGCAAATTATACAAGTTTCTATGGCAACTCTACAAAATCATTGCCAGATTACCTCCCTTTACAGAATTGACCATGAATAATGTCGAGCTACAAAATATCCAGTTGCACAATATTTGGATTCAGAGTGATCACTTTATTATAACAGCACTGGAATTAATATTGGATACTTACAAGACAGCATTATATATGCTGATCCATTACAGCCATGTGACGAGTTATTGTCTCCGTTCAACTGTCTTGGTAAGTATTTAGTGTTTTCTTCAACAGTGCTATTAACTTGTACTTGTTTATCAAGGCATATGGTAAATAATTTATTTAGTGATTCCGAATTTGAATTTGAAATATTGGCAGGTTTTTATCTTAATTGTTTCTAGCTTCTGTACATTTTAAATTACAAAGTTTGCTCACATTGGACACAAACGCTTTTTTCCTTTGGTTATTATTAACCGATACATATAATTATACTACACACGGTATTACTTTGGAGGTAATCTGGTAATCTGCCATTTGAACCACAAGTTCCTGTCACAAAGTACTTTAGTATCTAACATATGTATGATGCAACCTGGAGGATTCATATAATTTTGACTAGTACCTGTATTTTGAACCTTTCAGTTATGCTCCTACTTTCATAATGGCAATGTAAGTTGAAGAAAACATGAACAATAAAGTATTTCATATTAAATTTTCCTATGTATTGGTAAAAATGAGGTTTGTTGTTCAAGTGTATTTGGAAGGCAGATCCATTAACCTACAAGTAGTTTGCCAGACAGGTTTGACTTAACCCAGGGTCAGTCTGGGTCGAGTCAGCTCCATAAAAACAAACCATATATACATATAGAAGTACATCGTACTTGTTCATTGGTACTAATTGGCAACATTACTGTAATCGTAACAAACATATTACATGTATATACTCATATGGAAGAGTGTGCACATAAAGGATGTTATTCATGTGTGATTGTTACTTGTTGTTTGAAGATACATATTTTAATGTAATGTATGCACCTAAAAGTCATGTGATAATGGAAAGGTGAATGATTCCATAGCTACAAACTAAGTTATCTCCCTTGTGAATACTTAGGTTATATGTATTTAATACTAAAAGACATTGAAATTTGATAAAAAGAGAAAAAGAAAATAATTAAATTGTTATTTGAATGAAGAGCTTTAATTTCAGGACAATAATGTGTGGTTCAGATTTGAAGAAAATTAAATGGAGAAAATTTACAACATTATTTTATTTTTTTTCTCTCTGTAAAATTTAAGTGTGTGTTGTAGCATGGCCTATCTGACCTTTTAATGAGTGTGTGAAATCATAACCGATGTACATACTTATTTTATCATAATCAACTTTGCTGGAATTATTCTGTTGAGGTTTTAACTTATTCATTTTTAATATGAGACACTTGGGCTTAAAGCAGATTTTTTATTTTCCTTTAATAGACTGTATTCTTTTTGTTTTGGCAACGAGTATATTCCATTGCTATGAAAAAGTGTTATGGGTAATCTGTACTATCATTATGAGATTATTACCAAATTCAATTTTGGAAAACAGGAGCTATTCCTGTAGTCTTCATAAAGTAAACATGAATATTTTTGTAGGATGTTATCATTGTGTTGTGAAATGTAAAGTCTTCTCTTACAGCTAGCTAGAAAATCATTGTAACTTAAAACTGGAAACTTTAATTAGGACTACAATAAATATCTATTTCCTTTAAAGCCTGTGTTTGAGCAGTATCAAGTTCTCACCCCAGAAAAAAACCATGTATTTCACCTTTAGGCCAATATTCTAGAAATTGACAATGATAGCACCCAATGAAAATGGTCATGTTTACCATCTGTACACCAATTGTTGGTGTGATTCGAAATAATGACAAACTTGTTTATTAAAGGCCAAGTGTTATATGAATCCATGTTCAAAATCATCGACTGAGCCACTGGGATGGTTTGTCACCATGTATTTGATTTTCTCATTGAATTTTATTCAACCTCTACTTTTCTTGAGTTGAAATAAAAATATATTATTATAACACCAGCTGTGTTTTTGTTGTTATGATGTTCTGTTATACAGGTTGGACTGTCTACCTTCCTTTAGATCATATATAATCAAGAGTGGACCCTATTCAATTCATCTGATGATGGGCTATTCAAATCACCCTACGTCCATGGTCCGTCCTTAAACAATTCTTGTTATCGGTATTTCTAAAGAAGTACCGAAGGGATCTTTCTCAAATTTTATATGTAGGTTCCCCTTAGCTGTGCAGGGCAACTTTTGAGACTGATCGGATAAACAACATGGCCGACAGGCAGCCATCTTTGATTTTGATAGTAAAAATTTGTTATCGCTATATCTCGTGAAGTACCAGAGGGATCTTTCTCAAATTTTGTATGTAGGTTCTCCTTGGTCCCTAGCTGTGCAGGGCAACTTTCAAACTGATCGGATAAACAACATGGCCGACAGGCAGCCACTTGGATTTTGATAATGAAAGTTTGTTATCGCTATTTCTCGGGAAGAACCAGAGGGATCTTTCTCAAATTTTGTATGTAGGTTCCCCTTGTTCCCTTTTTGCCAATGGCGATTAAAGTCTTGCTCGAGCAACTAAAAGTTGTCAAAAGTGAGGTTCGGTAAACCTCTGGTCAGTTCGAATCGGCGGATAGTTCGAACACAATTTTTTTTTCAATAAAAACAATAATTTTCTAGCTAGTGATAGTTCAAACTCTGATCGACCCTATTTCGGATAGTCGGAACTTGTCAAATGAAGAAGGTAAAGTAAGATTTTTTTCGGCAAACTCCATTGAAAGCACATGGCGATCGGCCCCGGAAAAATGCATATAGTTTGATCAACAGACACGTTTAGGGTAATGGTTTGTATGTGTGAGCATTGCAGCACAGCTGTGACAGACAAACCATAAATATATGTCACAGATTTTAATCATATTTGATCAAACGCATTCTTGGGAGGCAGGGGTTCAAATTTTACAAATGGTGGGGCTGAGGGGAGGGGCCAAAAAGGGTATTTGGCTATACTGCTTTAAGCGACTTCTTCTCTGGAACTAAGAGATGGATATCAACCATATTTGACTTCCATTCACATATGGTTGATATCCATCTCTAGTTCCAGAAAAGAAGTCGCTTAAAGCAGTATAGCCAAATTGACCCCTTTTTGCCCTGCCCCTCAGCCCCAACATTTGTACAATTTTGAATCCCCATCACCTAGGGATGCTTCCAGTCAAACATGGTTGATATCCACCTCTTAGTTCCAGAAAAGAAGTCGGTTAAAGCAGTATAGCCAAATTGTCCCCTTTTGGCCCGCCCTTCAGACCCCTGGGGGGTCAGCCCCACCATTTGTACGATTTTGAATCCCCACCACCTAGGGGTGCTTCCAGGCAAATATGGTTGATATCCACTTCTTGGATCCAGAGAAGAAGTCGCTAAAAGCAATATAGCCAAATTGCCCCCTTTTGGCCCGCCCTTCAGACCCCTGGGGGGTCAGCCCCACCATTTGTACAATTTTGAATCCCCACCACCTAGGGGTGCTTCCAGTCAAATTTATTTTAATTCCAATCAGTGGTTAAGAAGAAGTCGTTTAAAGAAATTGTTGACGTCCGGACGGATGGCATCAGCTCACCTTGGTCCTTCGGACCTGGTGAGCTAATAAAAGGGTGGTATTTACATGACGTCTTTGCAAAGATTTAAAATGCAGACGTGAAGAAGTGAGTTTTGATGTCCCTCTTGAACTTGGCCAGGGTATTTGACTTTCTAATAGCATATGGTAAGCTATTCCACAACGTAGCCGAAACCCTCCCAAAGCATCTGTTTCTGTAGGTCACGGTACGAGATTTTGGGACACAACAAAGATTCTGACTCTGACCGCAGTGATCGTGACGGCTGATACAGGGTAGCAAGCTCCTGTAGGTACTGAGGAGCTGTTCCATTTAGTGCCTTGTATGTGTACACCAGAATTTTGTACTGCGACCTGTATCGTACAGGTAACCAGTGCAACTAATAAAGCACAGGTGTGATGTGCTCTCTCTTTCGAGTAATTAGCCGTGCTGCAGTGTTCTGGACACTCTGCAGACAACTAGTTAGTTTGTCAGATATACCACAGAGCAGAGCGTTACCATAATCCAACCGAGAGGTAACAAGTGAATGCACCAAAATCTTGCATGCATCTGTAGTTAAAAACTGCCGAATACAGCCGATGTTCCTGATTTGGTAGTAACAGGATTTGGCAATAGCGTTCACTTGTTTCATACACATCAGTACTAAGTTTAGATCAAAAGTTACCTCAAGGTGCATTTACTGTTAACATGACTTGATCAAACAAATTAGAGGAAAGAAGAGAAAAGATCAAACTGACAAAGAACTAATGGAGATGGTACAATGGTGGGCGCCAAGATCCCTCTAGGATCTCTTGTTTATTATGTTCTCTAGGATCTCTTGTTTATTATGTTTGTAAGTTTTGTTTGAATTGAAGTTTTGTTTTAAATTACACTTAATTCCAACCGTTATGTTTGATTAACCTTTTATTGATCACTCTTGTTGGCCTGGATGGTAATGTGGGAGAGGACGGGAACCCAAAAAACACATGGTTTGACAGGAGACCCTTTACCCTTTCACTTTCAACCAGGGTACCAAACCCTAGCTGTCATTGTTATCCCTTGTCACTCCATCACCTGAAGTTTCCAAGGTTTTATCCAACCAGCTGTTCACCTGTTTAAATCCATATTAGCAGCATTATCAATAATAACACTTGCAGTATTTGTGCAGTCTCCTGAGATCTACTCTCTATAATATTCCTGACCGTCACAGCTGCAGAGTCTATTCTTGACCTCATGCTTTCTGCAGATTGTCATTATTAAAACAATTTTGAACCAGTGAAAATGGACGTTCAGATCATTGTTTGGAAAACTTGATAAACTGTCAAAATGTGGAACTTTTCAACTAGAGGAGTGAAGTTTAGAAAAGGTTTAACAACAATACATTTTGCTCAGAATATCAGCTGGTACAGTCCCAGTGTATAAAACTCTATGCATCAAATCAATACAACAAACTAGAGAATTACAGATAAAACAACTTTAATATTGCTAGGTTGAAGCCAGTTCAGCCTTTATCCTTGTCACTGCCACACTCAGCTGGTCAGCAGGAATGACCAATACTGTCCGTAAGGCCTCCATAGGGTTGTCAGAGTCCCACTGTCCGTCCACCACTGTGTCTCGATCATCCTTCACAGAGTACGTAAAACTCAGCTCACTCACCTGTTTAAAACAAAGTGTTTGAAAATACAACTGTATATGAAAGTCAAACTAAGATATCATAAGGTAATAATATACAACATTTGATATAGCGCCCTATCTAGCTAACATAAGCCACTCTAAAGCCCTTTACAGTACATAGATATACAATTAATACAATTAGCATATTCATTAATCAATTCATTTTGAAGGTGAGCTCATTTTGCCCATTTTGATTAACCATACTTGAGTACCCTAGAGGTTTTGATTCCAGCCTATATGGGGTTGGGGAAGAAAATTGTTGAAATTTAGCAAAGGTGGGGTCAACATTTGGCCCCCAATTTGATTTCTTTTATTCTTTTGCCATATGTAGATGCATAATAGAATGATCAAGAAGAGGCCCAATGGGCCTGAATCGCTCACCTGGTATTAATCTCACACTTGTAATCTTAAAAGTGGACTAAAATACAGCTAAAGGCAGAATATCAATGTTTGATTCATAAGAACCTATTAAAAGATTTAAGTATATGACGCCTGTGACCTTGAATGTCAAACAAGGACATTAGGTTGAACAGCGTCCTAGTTTAAAGTCTTCCATCCCGGCATGCTTTTGGCAAAATATCATTACCCTGGACCTTTTGGTTATACAGAACAAGTCATTTAAAGATTTAAACATATATTGACCACTGTGACCTTGAATATGGGTGAAGGTCATTCATTTTGACAAAATTGGTAGCCCTTCATCCCAGCCTGTTAATGACCAAATATCATCACCCTTGGCCTTTGGCTAATTGAGAAGAAGCCGTTTGAAGGTTTTAAACATATTTGACCCCTGTGACCTTGAGTATATGTTTGAACAAACTTGATAGCTCTTTATACTAGTATGCTACTGGCCAAATATCATTATCCTAGGCCTCTTGGTTTTTCAGAAGAAGTTGTATAAAAGTTTTAAACATATCTGACCCCAGTGACCTTGAAAATAAGTAAAGGTCATTCATTTGAACAAACTTGGTAACACTTCATCCTTCGGGCCAGGTGAGCTAAAAATGACACAGGCAAACATTATTTTGAAAATGAATTCTGAGTCCTACAGTATTTACTAGCTCACCTGCCTGAAGGGCAAGTGAGCTTATGTTATGGTGCGGGGTCCGTCGTCCGTCCGGCGTCAACTTTTTGCTTTAAACAACTTCTTCTCAATAACCAAATGGCCCAGGGTACTGATATTGGGCCTGTAGCATGCTGGGATGAAGGGCTCCCAAGTTTGTTCAAATGAATGACCTTGGCCAACTTTCAAGGTCATTGGGGTCAGATGTCTGTAAAATCTTCAAACAACTTCTTCTCAATAACCAAATGGCCCAGGGAACTGATATTGGGCCTGTAGCATACTGGGATGAAGGGCTACCAAGTTTTTTCAATGAATGACCTAGGCCCACTTTCAAGGTCACTGGTGTCAGATGGCTTTAAAATCTTTAAACAACTTCTTCTCAATAACCAAATGGCCCAGGGTACTGATATTGGGCCTGTAGTCTGCTGGGATGAAGGGCTACCAAGTTTTTTCAATGAATGACCTTGTCGCACTTTCAAGGTCCCTGGTGTCAGATGTCTTTAAAATCTTCAACCAACTTCTTCTCACTAACAAAAGGGCCCAGGGTACTGATATTGGGCCTGTAGCATGCTGGGATGAAGGACTATCAAGTTTATTCAAATGAATGACCTTGACCATCTTTCGAGGTCACAGGGGTCAAATGTAAAATCTTCAAGCGATTTCTTCTCAATAACCAAAAGGCCTAGGAAGATGATATTTGGCCAGTAGCATACTGGTATCAAGGGCTACCAAGTTTGTTTGAATAAATGACCTTGACCCACTTTCAAGGTCACAGGGGTCAAATATGTTAAAATCTTCAAACAACTTCTTCTCAATAACCAAATGGCCCAGGGTACTGATATTGGGCCTGTAGCATGCTGGGATGAAGGGCTACCAAGTTTTTTCAATGAATGACCTTGACCCACTTTCAAGGTCACAGGGGTCAAATATGTTAAAATCTTCAAACAACTTCTTCTCAATAACCAAATGGCCCAGGGTACTGATATTGGGCCTGTAGCATGCTGGGATGAAGGACTATCAAGTTTATTCAAATGAATGACCTTGACCATCTTTCGAGGTCACAGGGGTCAAATGTAAAATCTTCAAGCGACTTCTTCTCAATAACCAAAAGGCCCAGTGTACTGATATTGGGCCTGTAGCATGCTGGGATGAAGGGCTCCCAAGTTTGTTAAAATGAATGACCTTGACCCACTTTTAAGGTCACTGGGGTCAGATGTCTTAAAAATCCTCAAACAACTTTTTCTCAATATCCAAAAGGCCCAGGGTACTGATATTGGGCCTGTAGCATGCTGGGATGAAGGGCTCCCAAGTTTGTTCAAATGAATGACCTTGACCAACTTTCAAGGTCATTGGGGTCAGATGTCTGTAAAATCTTCAAACAACTTCTTCTCAATAACCAAATGGCCCAGGGTACTGATATTGGGCCTGTAGTCTGCTGGGATGAAGGGCTACCAAGTTTTTTCAATGAATGACCTTGTCGCACTTTCAAGGTCCCTGGTGTCAGATGTCTTTAAAATCTTCAAACAACTTCTTCTCAATACCCAAATGGCCCAGGGTACTAATATTGAGCCTGTAGCATACTGGGATGAAGGGCTACCAAGTTTTTTCAATGAATGACCTTGACCCACTTTTAAGGTCACTGGGGTCAGATGTCTTAAAAATCCTCAAACAACTTTTTCTCAATAACCAAAAGGCCCAGGGTACTGATATTGGGCCTGTAGCATGCTGGGATAAAGGGCTACCAAGTTTGTTCAAATAAATGACCTTGACCAACTTTCAAGGTCACAGGGGTTGAAATATGTTAAAATCTTCAAGCGACTTCTTTTCAATAAGCAAAAGGGCCAGGGCACTGAAATTGGGCCTGTGGCATGCTGGGATGAAGGACTACCATGTAAGTTCAAATGAATGACCTTGATCCACTTTCAACCTAATGTCCTTGTTCAACAATCAAGGTCAGAGTCGTCATATGTTTAAATCTTTTAATAGGTTCTTATGAAATCTTAAGATTACAAGTGTTAGATTAATAACGGGTGAGCGATGCAGGCCCATTGGGCCTCTTGTTTTTATTGAAAATGGTTCAGCGGTTATGGAGAAATCAAATATATATGTTAATTGTTTAGGAATGGTGACGGACAAAAGGCAATGGCAATAGGTCAACTGAGACTGTCTCCAGTGACCTAAGATCGATCAGACTAAAATTAAACAATTAGGAACTCAATTTGGTCATGCATCAAACTGGAAAAAATTTCAGTTAGTTATACTAAGTATGTTTTATCACAATCCTTAATTCCTTCCAAACAATTCTGGAATATATCTGACAGTTAATTGGATCACAAAAGTCTCAATATATATTTGAATGTTTCCAAACATTGAACTTTAGAAAGGAACATTGGGCAAATTACATCGAAATCTAATTCATGAAATAATTTTGACTGCTCACCTCGTGTAGAAGTTCCTCCTCCGAGTTCGAGAAGAAGATGGGTTCCTCCTTCTGTTTGCTGGCACTCTTCATACGATAGGTCTTACTTATCATAACATATCTAGCAAAGGAGTACTTCATCTGTTTCCTCTGGCATTTCTCCATGTCTTTTCTGAAAATATATAATCATCTACCATTTAACATTTCCCATCAAAACATTTCACTGCTAACACATTTACAGGTGAAAGTTCTTTTAAGAATTATTATAAGGCTCTTAACAAAATGAAATAGTGATGTTAAGAGTTAGCCCATGATCATGTTTTCCAAATACAAGTTAGATTTTAGGGGTTATATATGTCACTGAACATCACTCTGGAGTACATTTGTTTCAAGTGAATTTAACAAATACAATAAAATGGCATGCTAATGTCTCTCAGGGGAGACAGAGATGTGAGAACTTGTATTTAAGTAAACTTAATCAGGTTAATCAACTTAATAAGGCTCCTTACTAAATCAACTAGTCTTACAATGGTATAAGAAATAAGAAAGTTCCTGACTTACATCAATGAATCATACATAGGTACAGAGATCTGTGGGGGGATGTTGAGGTACCGCTCGCTGAGCAGGAGACCCATGTGTTGATCAGGATTGTGTAGCATGTCGGAAAGACGAGACATTTTATCCTTGGCGCAGGCTTTACAATTGTCCAACAGAAGGGAGCGTACTTGTTGTACACACTCAAGGTCCTACAACCAATGAATGTACACAACTTAAGCTGGAGAAATGGTTATGTTTAATACTGTCCTAGAGATAATTAATGATAGTGATATTTCTGTCGAACTGCTTAGCACTATAGGGAGGCTTTAAAGTAAATGATTAAGCAAACAGATACAACTCAAGATTTTAATGAAATTTTGTATACTTCAGTTTCAGATTCTGATGTATTAATAATTTTTCCAATATCTGACCTTCTTTTCTGTAATATTCACAACAGACATCATTCCAAACACAGCATCATTGTCATCTTCATCCATTCCATCATCATCATCGTCATCAGGAACATCCATTTGCTGAAGAAAGAAAAAAAGAAAACCGTAATCAATACAAAACTGCACCTCCTTAGAAGTAGGCTGATTAACACCATTCACAATAAACAAGACGACGGAGGACGGAAAGTGATCGGAATAGGTCAGGTGACCTAAAAATAGCACCCTATCAGTGAACTGTTCTGGATTATGAGAGCATTATTCAGATCAGAATTGGTTAAATTTTGAAAGTTAAAAATGTCACAACCACTGGTTCAAAAAATAACAACAACTAGTATTAACGGGCCATAAGAACTATATATACTTGCATAAAGTTTTGTCAGATGGAAAGTAAATGAAAGTAGAAAATGACTCAGCATCAAAACTTGTTAATTAAAGGAACAAGCAATGTGTTCATGTCCCTGTATATACATATATAGATATGTGTGTGTGGACTTTTGATATAATTATATGGTAAGAAAAGTATTCAGATGTGTATGGTGTGAGACAGTGGCTTAGTGTAGTGTCCCAGCCCTCTTCTTTTGATGTGCGGGAAGTATCTGCAATACTTTATCATACAGATATTTCAGAGCCTGTCACCAAGAAGAAGTAAACCTTAGCTTATAACATGAACTGACCTTGATCACACATCCAATGAAGTTCTGAGATACGAGGGTGTTGGTTAGCTCAGAGAGGTTGACATTGGCTTTCAAGAACACCTGTTAAAAAAAATAGAACAAATTGTATCTCCAAAATCATGTTGCTCCTCATTAAATTTTACATCAGTTAATATGCAAGAAAATGCAAAGAAGGAGCATCATATTTGTTTCATCTTATTTGACCTCCAAGTAGTTAATTCTAATCATACTTAATTTCATATATTCATTTTCATATCTCCAATAGTTTGAAATTTACAGTCCATACAAAATGTCACTGAAAATTTGTACTTATTTTATAATAGAGGCAAAGGTCACAATAACCTAGCAATGTACATGTACTCCATGTGGGAGGTTTAATTATACTTCAAGTTTCATCAAGAAAATTTCACTGCAATTTTGTTCCTGTTTGACATTTGACCTGAAGTGAATTAAATACAGTAAATACATTTCTCTAATTTCCCTGTGTGTAAGATAGAGCTGTCCAGGGTAAGAAAGGGGTGTTGGAAATTTCTATCATACACCCCATTTCACGTGACGTAACGTCACAATGGCTCAACAATGACGTGACATCACAAATTTGGGACTCTCCAATGTGGAAAAGGCGACGTGATGAAATTAAAACCTTTTACGATATACTTTACTATACACGTTAGAAAGATGAGATTAACTGTTATGTGCAAACATTGTTTGCAGATATGGGATATGCTAAATCTGGCTCGCTAATTCGTTTTCGTCTAAAAAGTTCAGGGGAAAATTGATATTTTCAAAATGGTGGCCAGTCCAAACGCATTTTCATGGTTTCGGAGCAGTGGTTGGGATGAGAGAAAAATACTCTACCATGCCCAAGGGTGTAGGATACGGAAATTCCACCTGAGGGGTTTTCAAGTTTAGTAAAACCCGAGGCTTGAAAGAGTATTATAATCTTCTGTATGTGATCAAGATATCTTCAAAAGCTTACAGCCGACAAGTTATTAAAGCAAAAAGAACTTTTAATACAATTATGTCTCCTTTTCATTTGAATCAATTTTGTCCTTTTTTTTCAAATACTTCATAAACATATCAAGCGAGTCTCCTTATGGAAAATAACGATCTGATTTGGCTGATATATATTCATAAAAATGAATAATTTTAAGATAATATATTCATAAAAATGAATAATTTTAAGATAATTATCGGGATTTCTTCCTGTCTGACCAATGTTTTATCAAGGATTTCCCTCCTACAATGCATGCGCATAGCAGGCCATTTCATTGTAAACAAAATGACTAGCCGTGAGAAGTGATGGTGAGTGAAACTGGTTCTGCGTGAGCTATGAAGCGAGAAGTTACCAAAAGGTCAAAAGATAGCGCAAGGATTACGTTACGGAATCATTATTGCAGGTGGGAAGCATTCAAAGGAGAAAATAACTGCCCTAGCAGTTAGTACGGTGCATGTATTCTTCCGGATAGCCGGTTAAGCTGAAATGGAATCGACAGAAATGCTGTTTATGTTATGTATAAATATTTAAAACTATTAACCTCGCTAGTATCTTTGTCTAAGTTGGAACACAGATGAACTTATTTTGTTATGTTAATGGGCATGTATCTGAGAGAGTTTACTTTGTGTTTCTATATACAGTAGTTTATGTGAAAGGAAGGGATAGCAACTGGTTAGTTTGATTTTGCTATGAGGCCCTCCAAGGGATAACTGCTAACTGTTGTGTTGGCCACGGCGTATTCTGTTCTCTCCTCTGTCGATCCTCAGGGTCAAATGAGATACGTGCGCTATTACATTTACATAATTTAAAATATTCCTGGGTTCAGTAAAATGGTATGATTTACTTATATTGCTGAAATAAACTTTTTTTTTTATTTACATACAAGATTTCGATATGTCAAAATGACGGTTCGGGATGAACAATTGAAGGAAAATCTACTTATAGGATTGCATAAAAATATTTTTTTAAATCGTAATGTTTCAACTTAGAATGCATGATGATGCAACAATTTTTTTTCTATAAATAATAAATTTTCAAATTCAGATAGAATCAGATATGCATTTAAAAATTAAAACGGGGAAAAAAGTGATTTGTTTACGTTGTATAAATGATGCGTGATGCCGATAACTACGGCTTCAGTTTTGGACAAAAAGAACTGATTAAAGAAAAGTTGTCTCAACATAATAGAGGGTCCATTTACAAGTATGCTTTATCCTATGTAAAGTACTAAAAACATATAATAATCAAGTATCTCAACACGTTCCATATATATCCAACACATATTCTACATGTACACGTAGTGGTTTTGTCAAATGTTTATTGTGTTTGATGGTTATAGGGCCTTTGCAACCAGCCAATACCTTTTCAACTCCCTGGGGAGCATACACCCGAGGCTGCCATTTCGGCGCTCACAGCTAGCATTTGACAATTCTAGCACTGCCCAACCACATACTCATTTACAGCTGAGTAGACTGGAACAAGCGGAGTAAAGTATCTTGCTCAAAGATACAACACAGTGCTGTGCCGTGACTCGAACCTGCAACCCTTCTGTCACGAGCCCGGCATCCTACCACTAGACTAGTTACCGTGCCTCTGTTCACAAACCTTTCTCTTTTTTATACTAGCCCCGTACCCATTTGTACCGGTCACATTACGGTAATAGATATTTCCTGGTGTCTATAAATAATCATATTCCTTGGTTTCATTTTCCCTTTGGAAACATTGCATCTTGGTCAGACAACCTGTGTTTACTGCCTCGTTTTAATTAGCCAAATGACGTTATTGGCGCTATTTTTAACTAGTGTTGGGAATCGGATCAGATATTATAATCGATTATCGGAAGACTTGTCATGAACGATTAATCGATTATAATCGGAATTTCAAAACTTTGGTAAATATATTGTGTAGTGTATAGAAACTACAATATACAGCTATCTTTACCTAATAACGAGAGTACTTCCGGCCTTAATATACATGCCATTACTTTCCAGTGCAAAATAGTGAGATCAGTGAATTTTTTAGTGAGATTTGGTAAAAAAACAAGATGCCCAAGAGGGCCTGTATCGCTCACCTGAATATTTAAGCAGTCATAGCAAAATATTCTCATTAAATATTATATTGCACTAAAAATATTTCCCTCGCAAACTTTGTTGGCTCCATCTTTTGAAACTACCAGCAAAATATTATTATAAGATTCTATGCTTTTTGATTCTTCTTCAGAAGTTGCTTGACATATTTTTCCCTGTGACCTTGTAAGTAAGTCAATGTCATTTTCCTTCTCAAATTGGTTAGCTCTATTCCAAAATGCTACCAGCCAAATCTTATGAATCCATTCCTTTTCGTTCTTAAGAACAAATCCTTTAAAATGTTGATGACCTCTGTGACCTCTAAAGTAGGTCAAGGTCATTTTCATTCACAAACTTTGTTCGGCTCCTTCCCAGGAAATAACTAGCCAAATAGTAAGGTTCTATACCTTCCAGTTCTTCAGAAGAAGTCGTTTTAAGTGTTTGACATATCTGCCTAATGTGACCTTAAAAGTAGGTCAAGGTCATTTTCATTCTCAAACTTTGTTGGGCTCCCAGAAAGCTACGTATACAAGCCAACTATTTAGGTTCTATAACTTTCAGTTCTTCAGAAGAAGTCGTTTTAAGCATTAGACATATCCGACTCCTTTGACCTTGAAAGTAGGTCAAGGTCATTTTCGTTTTCAAACTTTGTCGGGCTCTAACCCAGGAAGCCACCAGCCAAATATAAAGATTCTATACCTTCAGTTTTTCAGAAGAAATTGTTTTGAAGTGATTGACACATTTGACCCCTGTGACCTTGAAAGAAGATCAATGTCATTTTCATCCTCAGACTTTGCCGGGCTCTATCCCAGGAAGCCATCAATCAAATATAAAGATGCTATACCATTCAGTTCTTCAGAAGAAGTCGTTTGAAGCATTTGACATATTTGACTGCTGTGACCTTGAAAATAGGTCAAACTAATTTTCATTCTCAAACTTTGTTGAGCTCGATCTGTAATTGCTTAACAGTTCACACATCGGTGAGCATGACAGCAAGCGCGCCATTCGCCATGAAATCGGCTGGCCATTCACACCTACATGTAGGCTATGCTGCTTATTGGCCTGGCCTGTAATTTAAGTGGCTAGCCTATGATTTTAGACCTCTTAGTTACCAAGGTCAGCGTGAATCCATGTACCTATCGTTTATTTATTAAGATTTACCAAACTTTGTTTCTTGTCGTGAGACCGATTGAAAATTAATGAGAAATGTGCCTACACCCGACGCTTCAAAAAACACGCTGGCGAGGAAAAAACTTTGGATACATTGCAGTTTTAAATAAATTTAGCATATTTAAGCAGTTTTCGATTGTTTGATTATTAGAGATTGTAATTGAGTGCTTACTTTTTCACCAATATCGAGTGACTTTCGACTTTTTCCGATTATCGGAACACCCCTACATTGTATTTTCAACAGGGCTTTCCTGAACACTTCAAGTGGTCAAACTGGACATTTGGAACGGACTATGAATATGGAGATAGCAACGTAACATAAGTGGAAGTGCATACAACACATATATTTATTAAAAACAATAGGCCTAGAGGGCCTGCATTGCTCACCTAAATATTTAAGCAGTCATAGCAAAATATTCTCATTAAATACTATCCTGTACTACAAATATTTCACTCACAAACTTTGTCGGCTCCATCTGTTGAAACTACCAGCCAAATATCATAATAATTATGATTCTATGCTTTTTGATTCTTCTTCAGAAATTGTTTGACATATTTGACCCCTGTGACCTTATAAGGAGATCTAGGTTATTTTCATTTTCAAACTTTGTCAGGCGCCATCCCAGGAAGCTAAATATTATAAAACTATGCTTCAAAATTGTTCATCAAAAGTCGTTTAATTGTTTGACATATTTGACCCCTGTAACCTTGTAAGTAGGTCAAGTTCATTTTCTTTTTTTACACTTTGTCTGGCTCTATCATAGGATCAACCAGCCAAATATGAAGATTCTACACCTTTCAGTTCTTCCGAAGAAGTCATTTGAAGTGTTTGACACATTTGATCCCCAAGACCTTGAAAGTAAACCTTGAAAGTAGGTCAAAGTCATTATCATTCTCAAACTTTTTGTGGCTCTATCCCAGGAAGCAACCAGCCAAATATGAAAATTATGTACCTTTTAGTTCTTAAGAAGAAGTCTTTTGAAGCGTTTCACATATTTGACCCCCCCCCTCCCCCCGCGACATTGAAAGTAGGCCAGGGGCATTTTCTTTTTTTAAACTTAGACAAGCTCTATCCCAGAAAGCCACCAGCCAAAGCTAAGGATTCTATACCCTTTTGTTCCTAAGAAAAAGTCTTTTGAAGCGTTTCACATATTTGACCCCCCCCCCCTCCCCCCGCGACATTGGAAGCAGGCCAGGGTCATTTTCTTTTTTTAAACTTAGTCAAGCTCTATCCCAGAAAGCCACCAGCCAAAGATAAGGATTCTATACCCTTTTGTTCTTAAGAAGAAGTCTTTTGAAGCGTTTCACATATTTGACTGCTGTGACCTTGAAATTACGTCAAGGTCATTTTCATTCTCAAACTTTGTCAGGCTCCTACCAACAAAGCTTTCAGCCAAATATCATGACTCTAGGCCAGTTCGTTCTCCAGGTGAAGTTGATTAAAAGAAAAGTTGACGGACGACGGACGGATGCCGTACGGATGACAGAAGCCGCACTATGACAAAAGCTCACTTGCACTTCGGGCAGGTGAGCTAAAAATATGGCGCTTCACGTGATGTCCCTTTTACCTAACCATCATTAATTTTAATATTGGCATATTGTCTTGCGAAATGCTAAACAATTAACACAATTATTTTATTATGCAGAGATAAAATGATTTACACCCTTAGAATGTATACTTTACCTGTTGTAAAAGAGTTTTTACTCCATGAAAATCACTATCATCTAGCATACGAGCCTCGAATTCAACCTGCACTTCCTACAAAAAAATAAGTGCAATTATAATTAATAGCATTGGATACCTTAACTGGCTTGGTAAAATAATAGTGATCTACCAAAAATAAATTTCATTGGATTAATGATTAAGTTGTGCGTGTCCTTTAAAGATATATATCGCTGACCATAATTTAAACAGACTGATCTTTGGAATCTGTCAACAACTGTAGGTCCACAGGTACTAGCCTTGTCTGTCAATACACCTACATGTATATAATATAATCTTATAATAAGAATTATATTATTGACAGACAAAGCTAGTACCTATGGTAGGTCTAGGAACACCCTTAGCTCACTAAACTTAACCTGTAACAAGAGGCCCAGAGGGCCTGTATCGCTCACCTGAATATGTAAGTAGTCATAGCAAAATATTCTAATTAAATATTGTACTGTAATACAAATATTTCACTCACAAACTTTGTCGACTCCATCAGTTGAAATTACCAGTCAAATATTATTATATGATTCTATGCTTTTTGGTTCTTCTTCAGAAGTTACTTGAAGTGTTTGACATATTTTCCCCTGTGACCTTGTAAGAAGGTCAAGGTCATTTTCCTTCTCAAACTTTGTTGGCTCTATCTTAAGAAGCTACCAGCAAAATCTTATGAATCCATTCCTTTTGGTTCTTCAGAACAAATCGTTTAGTTCAGTTCTTCCGAAGAAGACATTTGACCGCTGTGACCTTGAAAAAAGGTCTAGGTAATTTTCACTCGCAAACTTTGCCAGGATCCACCACAAGAAGCTACCAGCCAAATATAAAGATTATATACCTTTTACTTCTTAAGAAGAAGTCGTTTGAAGAGTTTGACATATTTTACCTGTGACCTTGAAAGAAGGTCAAGGTTATTTTCATTTGCAAACTTAGTCTGGCTTTATCCCAGAAAGTAAGCAGCCAAATATTTGAAGCATTTGACACATTTAACCCCCCCCCCCCCCCCCCCCCCCCCCCCCC